ACCAGCATCTGCTAATTCTATTCCCTTCTCAAACGCCATCTTTCGTATCCACCGAGAAGGAACTTTTACTTGCCCTAGTGTTATAGAATCAATGACTATTGCGTTAATTTTTATCTTTTTACTGGGATGGCTTACATTTTGCAATACGATTTCTACGATATCATACAAGCGCTCTTTTGCATCTTTGCATCCAAATGTGAAAATAATAAGCGCTTCTTTATTAATAATTTTCAACCCCAGTGAATCAACCACTTCTCGTAAGATGAATGACTTTGTTGACCCTGAATCTAGCATACAACGTAATACCTTTTCGTTTCCCCCTTTAACACCTCACTGTCGCCGAAAATGTCTGTAAAAGAACGGAAGTCGGTGGTTTAATTTTATTATTATTTTCATTACATAAGAGCGAAAGAGAAGCTTCAGGGATTGGCGTTTGTTTTGTCTGATTGGAAGTATCCGTCTCTAAATCTTTCGATGCGGCGTCACATATTAACGAATTATGTAAACCTTGGACATTGCACAGTCTGCATTTTTCATCTTTATGAGCACAGAAACGCCTTGGATGCCCTTTCGAAAAGCAAATAAAACATAAACCTCGATCCATTAATGCCTTTCGGCGAGCCTTTAAATCAAGTGCGCAATCATGATTCATATGACAAGCAGATAAACAAAATATGCAGACATTTTGATTCTCTTTCTTAGGCGGGGTAGAGAACTTTCGATTTGGATTAAAATGTGATTTTTGAAAGTATTTAGAGGGAGTTTCGCTTTGACTAGTTAATACCGAAGCACCTTGCTTATTCGTACTGTAATCATTTCTTTTAGAATGCATGTAAGATTTATTTTGATAACCTTGATGGGAACTTTTGTTTCGTATTGATGTTTCATTTACATCAAAATTCTTAGAACGCGCTAACATCATTGATGTTTCCCTACATTCCACTTCCAGTTTTCAAGAACGTTAGTAGTTCATTAACATCGAAATTTTGTTTATCACTTCTTTTCCTAGTGAATTCTAGAGTTAAATTCTCGGGTATTAACTTTAACAAAATAGGGGATAATAAATGTCCATAAGAACCACTAGTAACATTTAAAGAATTTAAATTCCTTATTTGTATTTCTATATCGTCATAAAGCTTCCTCAAAGAAGCCGTATTTCCGGAATATTTTACAGGTTCTAAACTCAACAATTTATTCATATGCGCATTAATTAGCAGGTCATCTCTGCCGAAACGGTTTTTTAGTATATCAACAGCCACCGTATAGTTTTCACTAGTAAATGTTAATCCACTAATAGCATTTAAAGCTAAACCTCCCAAAAGCGATTTTAAATAACAAAACTTGTCAACCGAACTGAGACTTTCGTTTTGGTGAATGGAATTACTAAACTGATTCCAGAATTCAAGCCAAGAACAAGGATCACCGTAATATTTTGTAATCGTTAATTTTGGCAATTTTAAAGTATTAACTTCACAAGTTTTCAACTTCGGAGATATAGTTTCCTCACTAGAATTTCTAGATTCAACTTTACACGCGTTTTTTCTTAATTTTTCCTGAATTTTACATTTAAAACTTATAATTCTTTCCTGATATTCCTGCGCGGAAATTACTTCTGTTTCCTAACTCCTGTTCCGTAATTATAAGTTTTTCAATCTCAGAATCGTATTGTTTCAACAACTGCGATTTTTCAAGTAACATTTCGAGTAATTCTTTTAATTTCTCATCCGCGGTTTCACCCTCTTCTAACAATGCAGAATCTATTTTACTCATCAACTTGGTAGTTAAGTTACGCGTCACCGTACGCAACTTCTTTGCCTTATTCATAGCCTCCATTTTACCATTAGATTCTATCAACTATAATAATCACCAAGATTTTTATTCAACAATTCTATTCAAAACTGGAAAAATGAAAAAGGGCCTACCTCGAATTTCTTCGCGTTAAATCCTGGCTTTTCAGTCATGAACTCACTAATTTTCTTCGTCCATTCTTCATCTCCACAAATCAAGTCCGGTGTCACCAGAAAAAATGTACGTATCCAAATGATCAGAAGGTTGTTGATGCTTGTTCCTTGATCTATTGCACCAAGATATTTTTACTGTACATTTATTTACAATTTATTTACAAGTCGTATGCCACCTGGCATGTTTACAAGCGTTATGCCTCCTGGTATGTACATGATAGACATATTTTGCCACCTGGCATGTGAATTGATACATCATATTAGTTTTCTGCCACCTGACAGATACGATGAAATTACCTCAATTAGCGGTAATACGCCCGACATTTTGGCGTGTCCGCTTCCCTTACGGTCTGTAACGCAACTAACCTTTTGTGCGGTGCGCCCTCTGGGCACAAATCACCGCAATCACCGAGGAGGCCAAAACACTATAAGAATTTCAAAACAAAAAAATATTGTTACGAATTTCGTATTTAGATAGATAATGTTAGTAGAATTATAATTAAAATTGTTTTAATTCCCCGTGCAATGCAGTGTGTGATAAAATTTAAGAGAAAGCTTTGCCGAAAAAGCAAAAATATAAGAGCATGTGCATTTAACATGTGAATAAATGGATATCTTTTTTGTATTGAAATTGAATAAATGTAATTGTTACTGTAATTGTTACTACTATTGAAATTGAATAAATGTGTTAGCTATAACCGTATTCCATCCTCTTGTTGATTTCCAGAAATCTTGAGAAGCAAAGAAATTACTAGAACTCTCTCATGACTGATTGAAAGCTTTTAAAAGCTGGAGAGAGAGACATTTCAGCTTTGTTACTGTTATTGCGAGTAGTTGTTTAGTTAGCTGCTGCTGTTGTTATTGTTTAGAGTTCAGCAAGAGATCTCATTAGCTTTCTCTGTGCTTTGCAATCTATTTAATGTTATTCATAGTTTAAAGTATAACTATTGATTATATTGCGTGATATTGTACGAATATCTCTGAGGAAAAATCCAGCATTCTGTTATATTTTTTGTGGTAAGAATAAATTTTATTAACCTTTTATCGGACTTGTGCATTCAATCTATTACGAACCTGTACACACACAATAATAAATGTAAACTCTTCAACAAGTTCACCAATTAAAATAGAGCATTGTAAGTGAAAAACATATTAAAGAGCATCCACACGCTGGAATAGGATGGGACAGTGCCATAATTATCAGCAAAACTCTTGCATAGAACTGGCCCTAAAATCAGAGGAGCCATTGAAATAACCAACAAAGTCGTAATATAAAACTTTCTTTCAGTCTTCCATATATCTTGACATTCACATTTAAAAGAACAGTAGCCCTATTGGAAAAGGCAAAATGTGGCGCTTGTATTACAGTAAAAGAAAAAGGTCATTCATTCAGATTCTAGCAATTGGATCAATCAATTGCAAAAGCTCTTCTTCACTGCAATTTCAACCTAATTTAGGATGTGAATCAGAATTATTTCATTACATATTTAATTTGATATTCATTTCTGATCCTGTAATAAAAGATTTTGTAGATTACTAGAAATACTTTAAGAAATTTATATTATGAGAAAAGATTACTTCAGTCTGATACTCTCTTTCTCTTTCTCTCTCTCTCTCTCTCTATATATATATATATACTGCTGGCCATAAAAATTGCAATACCACAAAAAATGGGAGGCAAAATTTGTAAATTATTTATTATGCTTTTCAAGTTATGATTATTTGAACAAGGTGTGCCTAAAGCAGTTTGATGTGTTTGCTTATATTTATATTGTGTGCAAAGAATTAGACATAATTCCAGTACAGTGATAAGGATGTGACATTAATGGATACATGATTCAAAATCAACATATTTAGGAGGCTTAACAGCTAGACCTGACCAAAAAAAATGAACAAGAAACGCATCTTTAGCACATATATGAAATAGAACAAACTGATGCATCACAGATTTCAAGCTTAGAGTTCGTATGTATTGTTATCAGCCGGTGTCTACACTATTGATTAGTGAATCATTTACAGTATTGAGGATCTTGTTTTTCTTTCATTGCTATGGCTGTTGTGGACACATTCCAGTGGTGGGAAATGTGTTGCTAGTGATAGAATTATGATGCCCTGTGGTATTTGATTGAGTCTTGTTTTTGCTCCCTGTGATTTTAGTGACTAAATCTGTGCATGAAAGCACTGCACATAAAATTTATGACAGGAAGAATTTTTTTGTACATAGGTACTGAGGCTGAATTTTTCATATCTCATATGCTAATTGGCTTTAATTAATCTGCATTATTTTTTGTATATAGAGCTTAAAATATTGGATTTGCGTTAATGTCTTACCTTTTCAAAATGTCTGATGACATTTGTTAACATAGCATTGTACTAATATAGTATGTGGCAGCAATATCATACACTTCTTGCATAACTGCTGTGCTAAATACTGACAGCTGCTGCCATGGAGAAAGTTTAAGCACATATAGAAATTAAATGGAGTATGACTCCCAAAATTCATTTTCAAAGTCATTTTCTTTCAGTTTCATGAAAATTTACTGAAAATGGTAGATGTGTAAAATGCTGATTATTGCACATTCAAATTTTTGAAAAGTTTGTTACTTTATAATCATTTTTGTCTAACTCTTAATTCTAAAACTATGTGAATTCATAAATATCGTTTTACTTTTTCATATCTTCCTTGAGAATACTTATCAGTGGCTGAGTTCATAACACTGTGGAATATATGTAATTCAGCTTGGTTATCCCAGTGTATGGACTGTCTGCATGTGTGTTTTCATTGTTTTTCGTATGTGTAATGCAAATTCAGGGCAAAAAGTATTCCTTCCATTGAGCAGATAACATTCACATGCTTTGCAAAATTCTGGTAATCAAATAAAACATTCTTGGTGTTACAGTTTTATTGCTAGCAGTGTATATTATGTACTTTCATTTTTCAAGATTATTATGATTTTTTGATGGTATTGATATGATGACAATTCACAATTATATCTGTAATTAGATTATAATTTTAATATAAAATACTTTTTGATGCAGACTCGAGATGATTTTCTTGGGCTAGTGGAATTAAACCTTCGAAGTATTCTTACAGAGAAGCCTGGTCGTCGTATAAGCCCAAAATACTACATTCTCAGACCTAGAAGGTTCAAAATTTTCTTTTTTTTTTCTTTTTAATATCAAATAAATTGTAATACCTATGTAATGAATCTAGTTACACCATATGCAGATCTTGACTTTCAGAATTGCTGTCAAAACCAGCAATATTTTCTAGCTTATTCAAATAGTTTAAGGAAATTTTCATATACTATATTAAAGTGTGTACCTGATTACATCAACTATATATGTACTTAATTGCATCAAATTAATTTTTTCAAATTATGGACATTCTGATATTTGAAAGATCTTATGTTAGAGATTAATTTGCCTCTGATTAGGCAAATTGTTTCTCAAACTCATATTCAGTTTGCATATTTTTGGGTATGCAGTCATTATATACCAGGTCTATCTACCTTTTACTATTGATAAAGCCAATAAAATATGTTGATGCATTTGCTACTGACATGCAGAGGGATACCATCTGCCATAGACCTGTAGTGTATTTTTATGTAGTAATATAATAATTGTGTAGTAAAGTACCTGCAACTAATTCCAGTTTGAGAATTCAATGTTGTTTTAATCAAAACTATGCTTTTAGTATTTTAATGGTTTGAATATTATATAATGTAAACTGCAAGTCAGAATTTGAGATCATGTGTCACAAATGTATGGCATGACTTCTAATTGATAACTACTATATATGAGTAAAGTTACTGTGGTCTTTACCAAGAAATTATAAAGGGACCTTGCCTATACCACCATCTCACATGTAAGTTTTAGTTTCAAGGAAGCCATGTGGCCGGTATGTGCACTGTTCAGTAGCAAACATGTTAATATACAAAAATTGTGTAAACTTTTATTGAAATTTTTCTACATAATTAATCATTATACATAACTTTTTTAAATAAAAAAGCGTCAAGTATCTTAACAGTAGCACTATCAGAAATACTGGCTGATATTTTGTGAAGAAGGAAAGGCAATAAATATAAAGATTTAAGAGAATTGTTTAGTGGTTATACAGAGAAATTTTGTTTTCATGATTTAATATCATATCAATAGAAGAAGTAGAATGCTTTTATTCTCTGAAGACATAGAGGTCTTACAACACCTGGAGGTTTTCTCTAAAATTATTGCCAATATAAGCAAAGATTTGCCTTATTTTTATAACTCGAGTTGGGATATTTCTCTTGAATATATTTAAGTTGAGGAGAATTAATTTAATGCAGAAGAATGATGTAGTATTTCACCATAAGTGAATTAGTCTTTTATATTTAAGTTCTGCTTTGATATCAGGAATTTGATATCTGATATGTACACTAGGAGAGCACTATCTGATATGTACGCTCTTTTGTGTTAAATAGTTTTGATAGGCTTTTCAGTTCTTTCAAAAATCATCTTAACTAGTAATAAATTTATTACTTTCAAAATTCATCTTTCTCTTTTCTGGTGTTTGTTACCTTACCGTAATTTACTCTGAAAATTGTGCATCTTATTAGATATTTGAAGTGGAGGGGATTTTAACAAAATTATTCATACATCTGATATGAAAAATCTCAAAGTTTTCTCATTTTTTAGATTTGCCTTTTCTTTAGTTTTAAAGGCATTTATTTATTTAAATACATATAATGTTTGAACTGATAAACCTAAATCCTTTTAACGCTTATTTTTTCAAAACTGGCTTCTTTAGTGCTGAAATTTTGAACTGTTCAAAAGTTGAAAAGAAATTTTGTTGCTTTACATTAATTTTTTGCTCATAGTGAACAACTGTTACATCTTCCAACATAATTTCCTGAATGTTGAACAAATAATTAAATATTGCATCAGCAGCTCTGTTCAAGTTTGCCTACTATCCTTAGAACCTCAAATTTGCAACTGATTGTCTCTGGTGAATTGTTATGGAAAAGTGTATATATAAATATCTATTAATTTTAAAGATGTTGCCATAGTCATCAAGACTGGTTATAGCAGTGGTGCACCTTGGCACATTGTTAAGGAATTTTTTTCCATTTTTGAAGCAGTCTAGTATGAGAAAGAGTGAATGAGAAGTGCCTAAGTTGAAATCTTAGTTCAAAATGATTAGTTTTGGTTTAGTAGTATTTTGGTTGGATAATTAATAATTTTCTAACATTAACACTCACTGAAGCATTACGGAAGGCATGTGTGCTTACTATCATTAGCATTATGCAAAATTTATATGACCATGACCCTCCTAAATAATTTTCCCCCTGCTCAGTTACTTCTGAAAAATTTTAATTCTTTTTCATTTTTCTGTTGAATTTTTTCTGTGCAGAAAATGCAAAGACCTCTCAGTTTGTCGTACAAATAACCAGCAATTGGTCTGTCGCTTGATATTAGGATAGCCTTTTATCTACTCTGAACTTGAAAGGTACAAATGAGCAACAGGTAATTGTTATTTCTGGAGTTTTCTCTAGAGAGTATTGGCTATTTGTCCTGTTAGTTGACAAATGAGTATATCATTTCGTCACTACCTTAGGGGTGGTGGCCAAGGAAAAATTTTCTCTAAGAAAAATTAAGAACTGCGCCATTTGAGAGTCTGGGATATTTGTTGGGTTGATGAGAAGGGGAAAGCAAATTGTTGCAATCTTACCTTTAATTCCATAATTATGATAATCTGAATGCATACTCTGGCAAAATATTTAGTGTTCAATAGTTATGAAAAACACATGCTTTAGAATATAATAATTTGTTGAATCTATCAAAAAGTACTTGCGCATGGAGCTCGAAGACTTTCTTGAACCAGTCAGAATATAAGAAAGATCATTGCACCATGCAAGTTGCTTATCTGGCCATGAATCACAGCTCTTCACGTTTTTTGCTTAGTCCATCCATCCTTAGTTTTTACATTGTGGAAACATATACAAAATGTAGCGTGTTTTGATTCCATTTTTCACTTTTTAATCTGTAAATCTAAAACCATTTTTGTAATATGAATCAAAACAGTTTAGCTTAGCTACTGACTTTTAGCACTATAAAATTATATGATGAACATAAGACATAGACCCAGCAAAACGCTTTAATCTACCTCTTAACAATGGCCTGTCTCTGCGGAAAGCAATGTTCCAGTCCACATATTTCACCACAAAATCTGCTTATTTCCATCCCATCTATTAAGATAAAAATTTAGTTTTAATTTCAGACTCTTTAATTTTAGTTTGGAAAATCTTGCTTTCCAAATTGCATTGTATTCCAAGCTGTATTTTACTTGAGCTGAAGTTTAATGCATAAATATTAACTGCTGACCCAAGAAAATGTTTTGTTAATTAAAAATGGATAGTTGCGACATAATACATCCATCTAACTTTATTCAAGGGGAAAATATAAATAAATCATGACAGTATTTTAAAACACAGAAGACTCTTCCAACTCCACATCTGTTAACATAGTTAATAGCCACTTTAAATGCCTGCCAAAATTAAATTTTTTTGTAATTTAGATATCCATCACTTAAAATTATATGCTGCTAAAAATAAAGAATCAAATCTTTACATCTGGCAGTATGTCACTATAACTTACAACATGATGATAAAAAATAATGAATTAGTTTTTAAAAAACACCAAAATAAGTCCCAAAAGTTCTTTATTTGAAATGTTATTTTCCTATCTATTTAATGGTACAAGGATTAAAATTTTGCAACTGTTAAAATATGAGAGAATATATCAATACTAAATGATGAAAATACACTTTGAATTTTGAAACTTTCCTTTGGAATAGTGTACATTCAGAGCAGGTACATGGAAAATTTCAAGAAAACCCAGTTAGTAGGAGAAAGAAAAATTTATTTCAAGATTTGATCCAAAAAAACAATGAAATCAGGTTATTGAGTTTATATGCATATATTTATTTTGTTATTATGCATACAACTGCTCTAAACATAAGCACATTATTTTTACAATTATGTATTGCCAAATTCCTAAGTTCAGTGAAACTCCATTCATAGAAAATCATGACTGATGTCATGAGCAGCACTGTTTATTAAGAGGCTGTAACATCCTCTCTGCCCTGGTTAACCTCAAAAGATATGACCGGTGGCACCATTTGAGTTACTTCTTTGCAGTCAACATACAGTATGCGTGATCTGTTTTTCCATTATGGCTTTTAATTTTCCTTTCAACAAGGGCCCTTTTTCACATGTGCGAAGTCCTTAAATCCTCTTAATGGGAACTAATTTGTGGATATTGCGTGCTTGATGGTAACTACGTAGTTCCTGAATATATTCCTTAGACCACCTCTTCTAAAATATATCCAACAAATTTTGCCTATTTGCATCATTTCATATAACTTTTACATTTTTCAGGTTTCGATGGCAACATTGTTGGTGTTTGACAGTTCTAAAATGACCTGGACCTTCTTCAGAGTCGTCATTTTCTCACTAATACACTAATGATCTGCTGTTTAGGACAGCTTCTATCCCTACTTATGTAGTAGAGAGTGCTTTCTTATCCAGCGGTGATTAACCAAGTGATTTTCTAAGACATCATTTAGTTAATCCTATTAAACACTCTGTAATTTTTTGAATACACATGTCAACATCAGTTATACCTTCACAATTTTGAGGCCAGTGTCCATTAATAATATAGAATGGGCAAAATGGTGAAGTTGTTCTTAGAACGATTTTGAGTTTTAGAATTAATATTTATAGAATTAAATGATATAATTATGGGAGAATTAAATGTATAATCATAAACCTTTTTGTTTTGCCATTTGGCAATTTCTTCTTTTTTAGTTGATGGTAAGTTAAATATGATTAACATTTTGAAGGGAAATTTTAATGAAGAATACAGAAGAGTGAGTGATATCATGAAGAACCTAATGCTTATTTTCAGAATGATAGAAAGGTAAAAGTTTTACATTTTAAAGAGAAAATAATTAACAATAGAATGATGCCAAGTTGTTGGAAGTGAGCATGAAAGTGAAAAATGTCGCACTTTATAAACATAAAGGAAAAATTACTGCTGATTAATTATAAGTTAAATTGCTGATTATTTTTTGGGGGGGATACTGAATGGACACTATCATGCAGACATCATCGCAATTAAAACTATCTGAAAATCAAGTCCATGGTAATGATAGCTGATGTAATCCTAAATTACCAAATTAAGTTGTAATGAAAAAGTTATGTTACCACATGATGAATAATCCTTGGCTGAAATACCCAGTTTCTTTACAATTAATGCTTTGAATAAACTATGTATTATTATTAGTCGAGATTTCATTATAATGAGAATATAGTATATGAAAGCTTTAAAAGTCTTTAATGAAGGTTAAGAAATACATTTGAAAATTCTTCGTAACAAGTTGCTTTATTTTAGTGCCAAGTCTCGAGTTAAAGGACATTTGGAAATATATCACGCTTATTTACCCACAGGAACAGCTGATGATGATGATACATCTAGCCAACAAGAAACTGAAGTAAGTGCCTGTAACTATGTTCTTTTAAAATAAATTAAATCTACTTTTCATTAAAAATATATTTGCATTTACATTTAGTTAAATGTAGGATGAAAATACTCTTGTCTTGCAGCAGATCTATCAAATATCAATTGTTGCAGATGCTTTACTAGAGATAATTTTTTGGAAAGAGTGATAATGGTAGCTTTCAAATAGTGGAACGTACTTAAGTATATATTGTTGCTGCATTTTGTAATTTAATGATCGTGATGATGTTTTGAATTTTCTCACCTTGCTTGTGCAATAAGCATTTTATGAACAGAAAGTTAAGAATATTTTAGGTGCATATATATCTGATTAATTAGACTGTATTTGGATCAAGTTGTTTTTACGTCAAAACTTGCAAACTTGCTTACTACATATACCTATCTAAATTTAGGACATGATATACTGACTGTTGTGATTAAGGATATTATGAAACTTGATACAGTAACAAAGTCTGAGACTCAGACTCGTCGGGACTTCCACGATTCCAGATTTGAGATTTTTACGGATATTAGATCATCATTTTAAATCGACATGTAGAAATTATAAAATTGAAAATATGAAATTGCGATTTATGAAATAATGAAGCATGTATGATATAAATGGTATCAAAATTTGCAAAAAAAGCTTACTATTTATTTATTTATTTTATAAAATATTACTTTCAATGTAAGTTGTTTAAGTTGCTTCATTTTTTGTGCTAATACTTTCTCTTGAATTCTGGAGACACTCATAATTTCTTATTCAGTTACATTGACATCATTAATGAAAGCTATTTTTAGCATATGGAAAGAGATTTTTGTTAAATTTTTCTTCGTCATCATTTCTTATCGCATTGAACTTAAATCTGTAATCATCCCCAAGCATAATGTCGAAATAAAAAGTTACCATACTCTTTATTATTCAATTACTAACATAAAAAAAATTGTTTAGGCATTGCTACATGAGTTGTTATGACTCAAGTTGTCATGTGTTGATAAACATGCGGTGATGAAAGCAAAATATAATAAATAATGATTCACCAGATTGGTGTCAGGGATATAAAATATTAATAGGTGTATGTAGAATGTTTCGGTTTGAGATGTATGCCAAGCAGATACTCATCTACAGCCAAATTATTGATTATACAAATTTATGCTAAAATGATTGTTTCTACAAGAATGAGGTATTTTATTTAGTGCCAAAGTGAAATTAAGAATTTGACTTTCCACATGTTTTATTAAGCGCCCGGGCAGAGGAAGGGAATCAAATGTGCATGCATAAAGCATATAAATTTTTTTTTTTTTTTAAGTTGGTGACTTTGAGGTCCAAATTTTAGATCATTCCAGATATTAGACGTTCGGATCTTGGACTTTGTACTGTAGTAATTTGGGCAGTGTGCTGCAGCAACACTTTTAAAAAAGTAATATTTTATGATCTGGTTTGGTGATCCAAAAAGTTTGTCCTTATGCCAGTTGTTAGTAATCCAGCTAAAAGGAAGGAACATGTATGAGTTTAATGGATTTTTATGAGCGTCATTTTAAAATATACTGATAGATTATTTTTTGGACAGTTCCTTTGTGAGGGCTAGTAAGAAATATAACTGCATGTGTATGGGATATGAAAAACGGCAAAACAGTTGCTTTCTTTCTGGGGAAAAGTGACAGTTTAAAAATATTTTACCTTGAACGTAGAAAATCTTTTGTGCAGTATTTTTAATTTAGTATAAAATTGTATTTAAGTTTTGTTAAATTATAATGAGAATTTTGTGACTGAATTTAATTTCAAAATGTTAGGCAAGATATTTTCCTTTCTGCCGTTATCTTTTATAAGGAATTGGGGTTTTATTATGGTTTGATTTTACTTTTATTTTTGTGAAGGAATTAAAGCCCTTATTTCCAAATTCGTTGATTATTTTTTTATGGTCATGGATTGTTTTTTATTGATATTATCATTAGAGTATCAAACTTGGAAGAAATGGTGGACAAATCTACTTCTGTTCTACCATACTGCTTGATTAAATTTGTATTAAGGTAGCAAAACTCTTGTATAATTTATCATCAAATGCAATCCTGTACAGACATAAAAGATAGTTTTTTAATTTATCATATTTTATTGTTTAAATATTTTAAATAAATCATTTGTATGTAGATATTATGTCAGATGTAAATGCAAATAAATTACAGTATAATAAAATTATGAAATTGTTGACTGTTATATTATGCATTTCATAATATTAGTGTTATTAAATGTTCTATATTATCTGTTAATAGAAACTAGTATTTTAACCGATTTATTGAAAAGAGTAATTTTACAGTCTGGTTGGGAGATGGTAAATGCTGAAGATGGCACAAGTGTTTTGGAGGAGACCCCAGCGTCTCCAACAAATGTGCCTACCCCTCCGTCCAATCACAGTCCTCTCCCACCAGGATGGGAAGAGAGGCAAGATAACAATGGGAGAACATATTATGTCAATCATGCTGCAAGAACCACGCAGTGGGAACGTCCTACTGGGTAAGATACTTGAATGTTACATGCAGTAAAAATACTTTTCATGTACTCTCTTTCTCTCATATTAAACTTTCATATTTTTGTTCTGATTATTGATTTTATAATTTTACAATTATTTTAGATTTTATGGTTTTTCTTTCTTTAATTCCATGCAGCAGTTTGTAATTAAAAGTTATAAAATGATGTATTAAATGAAATTGTTATAATCGAATAAAAATGCATGCAAAATTTTCCAACTTACCCAGTTATTTGCCAGAATCTCTTTTTTTTTTTTAACTTATAATTCTGTTTAGCAATTTTTATAAAATAAAAAGAAGCCAAATGAAATACTAAATATGCTAACCTTTCTTCTTTTGATAAAAATTTTAATTTATTTGGAGAATTTTCCATTTTTCATTTCTTCATATTGTTTCCTATGTATCAACTCATTATCATTCCCTTGGCAAACTTAAGTGCCTCTTTATCAAAATTTGAAACCCATAAAGGATTGCTTCAGCTCCTCAGTGGTGTGAAATGCTTGCTAAAACTAATTAAGGTTCATTTTGCTTTTTTGTGTGCATTTTCTTTAGTACGTTTATGCTGTAATCATATAAACTCTCTTGACTGATGTTAGCAAGTTCTTTATCAAACCTGTAACCTACATCCACAGTTAAAGCCTGCTAAGCACTTACTACTTTTTCCTATTTTGTAGATTAAGTGTTAAAAGCCATAGCCCATATGGGCAAAAAGTCTAGGAAAAATCTTTCTTTGCAGGAAAAGTTCCAGTTTACTGATTAATTGACTTAATCAGTATTTTCTTCATTTAACTTCTCCAGAAAAGCCACTGCTTGCAGTCCTATTCTAATTTTATCTGTGACTGATTTTGCAGATTTCATCTGTTTTGTCAAGTGGGATATTTTTGCCAATATCATTCTGATTGCTCTTGAGTTTAGGACTAGAATTCCTTCATATCAAAGGTGCCTTCCTTCCCTGCTAAAGATGTAATGTAGGATTTCTTTGGCTCTGTTGGTCTTTTCTTAATTTCCTTCTTCTAATCAGTTACCCGAAAAAGTTACTGGTTTCCTCGACCAGAAGACTTGTCTTTGCTTATGGTTGAATTTCTCCTTGGGAAAGCTAGGATATGCCATGTCAGAAGCAGGATAAGATCCTCCATTATCCTTATTATTTCGCACGTTCCATCTTGAGATTGGATTTGTACTGTAGATGCTATTACAGATATTGTACTCACCTGGGTTTGTTGAAGTAGCTACTCTGTGTTTGGCTGTACTACTTGCAGCCATAACATTGTCTAGGTCATGGTCAGGGCTTGAAACTTTCGACTCGAATCTTTATTTCAAAGAGTTTTCTTGCCTGGTAGATTGTCTTTCCTTCTGCATTGTGTGGGAGTTCAGTTTGATTCTCCACCTCTCATTCGTGAAAAATGTTTTACTTTCATCCGTAGGATGTTCTTGGCTTTTAGTTCATTAAAGATATCTTCACCATGTATAATGGTCATTCAAATGTATGTGCCATTGCTGTAATCTCTGTGCCATTTGAAGAGAAACATGACTGTGCATGGCCTTGTAGAGGGCAAAGAGTGCTGGTCGTGCATGTGATATCATCAGATCCCACCTGATGTGTGTGTGTGATAGCGTTGGAGCATGTTAAAAAGTATCATTTGCATTATGGATGCCTCCAAATGGTGTCAATGCGAGGTCGTGTAATTTTTAACAGCAGAAAATGTGAGTGCTTCTGAAATCTATTTTTGTATGTCATGGAGTGTATGAAATGCAGATCGGTATTTCGATGATGTATGGATTTTCGTAGTGGAAGAAGCAGTACTGAACACAGCCACGACCTGGTCAGGCGCATATGGTGATCACCCAGGAAGCAGTTGCGGATGTGAATTGGCGAAACACCACTTGAGAAATAGTGGAGGAAATGTCTATGAGCATAGGAAGTGTGCACACAATGCTGTGTGAAAGGTTGCGATACTGCAAGGTTTGTGCGCAATGTGTTCCAAAACATTTGACAGAGGAGTGGAAGATTCATCGCATGTCTATTTCTATGCAACACCTTATGTTGTAAAATGAAATGGAGAACCAATTCCTCTCAAGGATCATTGCCGCTGATGAAACATGGTGAACATCAAAGTGATAGCTCACTTTGATCCAGCCACCAAAAGCATGAGCATGGAATAGCAACACTCTTCATTCTCATGCCCTAAGAAGGCTTGTTCACTAGAGGTGGTAAAGTCTTAACATGTTGCTTTGACGCCGAAGGACCGCCACTGTTAAAATGGCTACCTACAGTCACGACTGTCACTGCTGCCACGTACTGTGCCACATTGCAGAAACTGAGACAGAATATCAAGAACTGCCTATGTAGCATGCTCATTCTCATGTAGCAAACATTGTTACCACAATTCTGCTGGGAGGTTCTCGAACATCCTTTTACATCCTGGACCTCTCACCATGTGACTGCCACATCTTTGGTCCACTCAAGAAGTCTCTGAAGGGACAGCAATTTGCCGACGATAATGAGGTCCAAGCTGCCAATTGAAATTAGTTCCATAACCAACCTCGGAGCTTCTTCACCCAGGGTATCCATTGTCTTGTTGTCTGCTGGGACAGTTGTTTCAACCTATAAGGTGACTTTATTTAGCCTATCTATTACATCTGTACTTTCTTTTGTATACTAATTTATATTAATATCATTAAAATATTTCTTAAACCGACTGTAGTACCATTTGCATTTGAGCAATCCTTATATATTGTTCAGCAGCTCTTTGATAACTGTTTTGATTGTCTTGCTAGTTCATAGCATGAAAGTATGAAAAGGAAGTCCAGTTTCTTGAAGGTGCCTCATAGTTTTCTGGTAATCATCTGGAATTTTGACATAAATTTTTGTTTTTCCACCTTTTATTTATGCTCTGATTTCCTCACATATACTTGTGATTTCATCGTGAAACGTTTTTCAATGTAATTTCATACTGGAAAGCATGATTGGCAGGATTCTGCTTGGTTTAACAGTCGGTGGTCCTGGCTTTAGTGACTATGTCTTGTCGTTATTTCTGTCATCATCATTTCAGCATCATAGTAAGCTACCCAATAAGAATGCAAAAAGTTCTTCGAATCACATTTTTGAGTTTAACTCCAGAACATGAACTTGACACAGCAAATATATGGTTTAAATTTTTTCACATTTTGCAAATGATCTGTATTGGAGCTTAATTTATTAATTTCAGTAGTATCAATTTTATTAGCAACAGTGCTGAACTGAACAAAATCATCCTGTAAGGTTTAAGTGATAAAATTGCTGAACACTGCTATTCATCTTAAATTTATACTTCGTGAATATGCTGGCAGCTTAAAGTTTATGCGATTTCCCTCATGTTTAGTGTGAATGTGAGCTGCTTTCCCGTAGTTTCACAGGAAGAGAAGTGGCCTTTGCATGCTTTGCAAATAGTCAATTAACCAATGAAACAGTTTAACAAATTGAGACAAATCTCTTTCCCTGACAACTTGATACTGCTTAATGCTATTATTTTTTATGTCTTCTGAATGTTTTTAAGTGCATTACGTGTGTGGATTTCTTCTAGAAATGAGCTAGTGAAACTGTTTTGTCACTTATATTTGACACTGCTTAATGTTCAGTGAAATTCACTCTGTATTAAAAAACATAAATATAAATAACTTAAACATTTAACAAGAAAAATGTTAATGAGAAAAATGTGGCAAATGAAACAGCATTAAATGAGAGCTGATTGCATAAGGTCTGCTGGAAAATTCTGCCCAAGTGAAAGAAAATTCAACATTTTTTATACTTTTAGTAATATTAATTGTGCATTATAATTTCTGTCATTACTTATGGCCTGTTACCAGCATGATGGTTAATTTGTAAATAACATTTCTGAAAAATTTCTTATTATTAGAGTTTCCCCCCCTCCCGTTTTTCATTAGTTTGAATTAGGTTTCAAAAGCTTGTAATGCTTTAGTTCTTGGATGTCCCACCATATACATAGCATTATCAGGTTCAGGCTTAAGCTTGGTTTAGAAATGGAGAGGGCAGGTAGTTTGGACTCGCAGTATGTTCTTTTCTAACAAGTTTTCATAGATCTTTTCATCACCAGTTATCATCCTGTCCAAGAAGGGTTTGTTTTTGTTCTGAGTAAGCCTAGATGTTTATATAATGACTTGATCATGCAAATTTTTCTTACTTAACTCATGAGCCACCCATCTGGAATGTTTATAGACCAATCCTAGTTTCTGTGTTATTTAAGTTTGATGTAAATGTTTTTTTTTTTTTTTTTTTCCAGTTTTTATGAAAATATGACATGGTAAGTTAGGTTTCAGTGAAACTTAACTTTAAAAATGATTTGCATTGTGGTCATAATGATGAATTAAATATTAACTTTTGAAGAATTTAGTTGTTAGTATCTTTGAGGATATTTTGCTGTAGATGAGACAGCAATATTCATTAATGTTGGCATTGTAAAGTAGAAAGTTAGTGTGTTTGGAAACATAAAATCAAGCTTTTCCGTGGGAATTTTCATTTCTTGGATTTTTATCAAATGATAGAAATATAAATTTTCCATAATATCCTGTAATACTTAATTAATTATAATTGCAGAAGCATTTATTTAGGTATTGAAAAATCTGTGAAGTATTTTTAAAGTGCTCAGATGAGTGTTACCCTACTGTTATTAGATGATATTTGGTTTGCTTAATTATTTGCTATCTTCCAATTATAAATTGGTCTTAAATAACAATGCAGTTCTTAAATGCAATAATGAGTGTGCAAAGTTAACTAATTAAAAGTTTTGATTTCTTTTCTTTTTTTTCTTTCTTTTTTAAAAAAAATATAAATTCATCTTTATTTTCGAAAGTTTAGAATTATTTTGGGAAATTTCAGGTAAGAGTAATTTAAAAAAAAAAATTAAGTATTGCATTTAAGTGAATTTTGTTTAACATTACAATTGGCAGAAAATTATAATTTTATGCACTTTTTAAAAATTGGTAAACTTAAATTCTTGAAATTTGAAAATTTTCTTTGTCATATTTGTGAAAACTTTAATTTTTGATTTGAATTTCTTTACATATATCTATGATTAAATTGAATAATGTATACTTTCTCTTTGCTTTTTGTCTTCCATAGTGCTTTGCAGTCAGAAGAAGAAATTCAGCAACGTAGTCTTGAGTCAGCACAAGAATTCAGACGACGTGTTCATATAAGTATTGATCATAGTGATGAAGTCAATGATCATTCAAGGGACAACTTTGAAATATTACGAAATGTAAGTGGGTTACTGTTGTAATAGTTTTTATAAATCTGAGAAAAGAATGGACATTTTATTTTATCGAAGACTAACATTTGTGATTCATCATCTTAGATTTTGGTTTTTTCCTCTCTAAGAAGTAAAATGTTATATGAAGCTGAAGATTGTTTATATAATGTATTATAAATTAGTTCCTTTTTCTTTTTTTTTTTTTTTTTTTTTTTTTTTTTTTTTTTTCAGCTATAAATAAAAGTGAAAGAAAACCTAAACTTTACTAAGCAAATTTTATTTTTCTAATTTACTTAATCATTGTAGTTTATATCTGTGAAGTGCACAAAGATTTTTTGTGCAAATGCGAAAAGAATTTAAGAAATTTCTGTGCTTTTGAGGGCATAATTTTATTACAGTTCAAAATAACTTAATTAAGTGCTATTCATATTTTTAAACTTTTCTTTCAATACATAAACAAATGTAGAATAAAATCCTTTTTCTCTTAATAAATTAAATGATTCTAAAATTGATATATCTTGCTTTTTTTTTTAAATTTAAAAATGTTTTTGAGAATGTCAATTGAATGATTGTATTACTGAGTTGTGAAAGTATTTTAACTATGCATTTTATATGCTTGATATATTTTTGCCTGCTTTTTCTCTTGCACATTTGGCTTACTTTTCTTGCATGGTAAAGCTGATATTTATGGAACTGCTTAGAATCCTTTTCTTGCATGTTTTTGAATTGTATTTTATTACATTTTTTGCACTTAAGTCATTGATTCTTTAATGCAATGCTTTTACAGTAATTTTAACTCTTAAATTGAACAGCTTTAATGCATTAGAATTATTAATCAATAAAAGAAGGGGTAGACCACTAGAAAGTTACTTTTTTTTCCGCAGAACATAATAGATATGAATTTTCAGTTATTAGATATGTACAGAGAAGTCAAATTATCTTTTTGTATATGTCAAGTAGATCTGTAGTAATTATCCAGTATATTTCATGGGGACTCGAGTAAGAAGTATTTTTCCTTGTATTTAGATGCTAGAAGCGCAAAGACTTGACCCCAGTGTCAGACGACATTCCATGGTAAGTGTTTTGTAGTAAGGGATATAATTATCTTAACATTATATCTTCAAAATGATTTATTTTTCTACATTGGTTTTGTATGCAATGGAAAAAGGGGAAAAATATAGTAATAAATTATTTTCTTTTAAAATATGCTTATCATAATAGTACCATCTTGAACCTAAAATAAAAATGTGATATGTAATCCCATACAGTCATAATGAACATTTTGTAAGTTTAAGTTCGTAAGCTTTACTGTTTGAAATTCAGCATCAATAAATGTAAATAATTAAAACTTACCATTATATGGTTTAAAATGTGGTAGGTAAAAACATGGGCAGTGTAATCAATACAGTGTAGTTGTGTGTTGTTGTGTAAATCATTGAATTTCTTTAAATTTTGATTTTGTTTATCAAACTTATAAACTATTTCTGTGCCAAACTGCACAGATCACTCACAAAATCTAAAGATTAATTACTGACTTATTTCTTAATCCCTACACCCCCCCAAAAAAAATTCTTATAACATAATTAAATAACCTCTTCTAATTAAAATCCATAAATTTTTGCCACTGCTGGTGATGAGAAAATTTTTACAATTAAGAAAATGTTTTTTCTTTGATGATTTAGCTTTCTTATAACAGCAGAAATATTGCTACAATTTTTTAATGTCATGAGAATGAAAATTCTCTTTTATTAATTAACACAGAAATGAATGCAAACTTAGTTTATCTTCATATAAAAAGTGTACTGAATTCAGATTGGATGTAGACATAACTGAAAATGTAATTATATAACAAGCATATTGAATTTTTTCTTTTGAATTAAGAATTGGTAAAAATTTTTGTTACTTAATGCCATTCATTACTTGTGTTATTTGTATTAACTGATGTGAATTTTGAAATACCTTGCACCATTTATACATTTCTCTTTTATACATCAGTTCATCTTGGTCCCAATTCAATCCTATTTATTTTAATAGCATTTCTTTTATGCATCATATAATGTTGTTTATTCCTCGCTTTTGCTTGAGTTACTGCATGTGTTTTACATTGCGCAGTCCCACCATTTCCCAGAAATAGAGATAGGAGAAGGGAACAAGGGCATGAGATATCACAGTCTGGCACAGGAGTTGAAAGAGAGTTCATAAAGAGACAGGTTACATGGAAAAAAAAAATAGTTTTTTTTTTTTTTTTTTTTTCTCTCTCTTCTGAACAGAATACTGTGTTAAATAAACAAGGTGAAAACAACTTAGCTGATTAACTGACAGAAACTAAATTAATTGACAAAAAATTAGATTAACGGACAGAAAATATCATGAAGGCAAAAGGCACTTTTGTTAAAATTCAAATCTTTAAAAAAAAAAAAATAATAATAAGAAGAATGCTGGTTTGATGAAAGTTGAGTTAGCAGAGAAACTGGGAATACTGTGACAGCACTAAAAATGGTGATAGAATATAGATAGATAAAAATGGTGGTATTATGATAGGGAAAAAAAAAAAGTCAAAGAAAGAGTAGAAATGCATGGACAGTCTGCTTAAAAAAAACTGTGTGTTAAAGATGGAAAGTTTTCTGAGGTTGAAGCCATTTTTCTAAAATTTTTCATTCAGTGTCTTGCATCCAGTATTCGAGGGAATGGCCCCATTTTAATCAAGCTTTAAAAAAAAGTCCCCTGTCCAGACATATAAACGGTGCTCCACTGTATATATATCTGATCAAAAAACACCAGATGAGTATCAAATACATATCAATGAAAATAATTGTGTTTGTATATCATGTGGTGTGTCACAGTGCCATAACTCATTTTAATGTAAAGTTATAGGGCAATTACTGCTGCATTTTGTCCGAACAAATTTTTTTTTTTTTTTTTTTTTTTTTAGTTCCAGTTTTTTAAGTTATGTAGCAAATAAACTCATAGACAGCATTTAATTTTTATATATTAATAGATATGTACTATTTATCAACATAGGCAGATAGCCCTCAATTGCTTTGCCATAATCAAATAAAGCAAAAACAAAACTATTTATGAACCTTGTATGATCAGACCAACAATATGTTTGAAGAGTTTTCGTTCTGGTCTTGTAGTTAAAGATTTCAGTACATTACTCAGGAAATATGGGAATATATTAATGTTTTTAAACCTTCACCTGATTTTGCAGTTGCATATTTTATTCTAAAATATTTTGCATGTTTTTATTCATCAAATATGATAAACGTTGTGGCATTTAAATGTAAAAGTTCATTATTCCCCATTTTATGCATTTGTTAACTATTTAATTCTCAAGATTATCTTGCATGTGAATAAATAATTACATCTGCATGTTTTCCTTACATCTAGCTTTTTAAATAACTGCCTTATTTGATGAATACATTATAATTTGGTTGATATGTAACGTTTTTAATAAAACTTGCAGTTTTATTTTCAATCTACAATTTAGCTACAATCATAATTTTTAATAGTATGTTTTTAATTATATGGTCTTATTTTTAATTTATAAGGGACATGTTAATGAAAAAATTAAAATTTCTGGTCAACAATTTTTAAAAATTTCGTTATCAAATGTAATTGTCTAAGGATAGTGTCAGAATTATTTTTTTAGTGCTATCAGTATTTTTGCATTAATCCATATTGCATTTACCATCAACAAAACATGATTCTATTTTTTAAAAATTTATATAGTTTGATGTGTGAAAGCTGGATAAAAAATAATGCATATATACTTTTGGTCAAAAGTCATAAATCTCTATGCATTTTACTTAGTCATTAAGCATATAACAGTCTAGTGATAGGCTCATATTGGTCTTTTAAATAGCAATACATGTTTTTTTTTGGGGGGGGAGGAGTTAACAGAATCTCAGTGTTTAAACCAACAGTCATTAATAACTGTCATGAGCATTTCATAATAACTGAATAGTCATAATAACTGTCATGAGCAGTTTGTTTCTCATATGTAACAGAAATATGATCCAGTTTCTGTTAAAAGGTTCTTCATGACCATTCCTTTGGCAGATAACCTTAGTGTAATGATAGGCAGATAACTATTAAATTAATGTTTGTTTGGCATGTTATTGTATCTTAACCTTAGTATTCTTTATTTTAATCTATAAAATTAAATCTTATCCAGGTATGCTTAATCAGAAGAGACCTTATATGAGATTATCTGCATAGCTGTAGGGTCTTACTGTTTAATTTCCTTTTGCTTGAAATGAAAACATTCTTGTTAGCATTATTTTCAGTATGGAGGAAAGTTAGATATGTCTTTTTTGAGGAAGTCAGCTATACAATTTGGGTATTTAATGACTGATTGAGAATAGGTGGCATGCATAGAGGTCTGTGATTGAAGACCTTTGACTGATAGTATTTGCGTATGAATATATTTATGTTTGCTGTTTCCGTTTATACATGTGTTTGTGTGTATGTGCATGTATTACTCCTAATATTCTTAATAGCCTCTTATTTTCGCGCTTTTAACAGAATGCAGTATGTTGGACACTTAATTATACTATCATCTGTGGCATATAATGTAAATATATCTTATTAACTTATTACACCTATGCTTTGGGTAAAACAAAAAAATCTGGGTGAATTTATCATTGTGATCTGGAAATGAGTCTGTGATACTTTTGAAGTATGAGTGTATTAGAAATACAATACACTTTTCTTTATTTAGCACTTTGAGATTATGCACTTGCCAAGTGAAAACATTCTCGTTCATACAGGGTTCATATGGTCCTTAAGAGTCCTTAAAAGTCCTTAAGTGTTTTGGAATCGATTTTTGGTCCTTAAAAAAGTCCTTAATTTTGGCCAAAATTGCCAGAAGGTCCTTAATTTTAATCATCTGAAATTTCTGTCTGTTTTTACGACTGCCATTTTGGGTGTGAATTAGCATTTTGCAGGAATATTTTTGGCGATTCACTGACAAATATGGCTGATTTTTTTAATGGGTTCATGAGTTATAATTTTTTCCTATTTGTAATATAAATAATGGTGGGATACTCGAGTTTCTGAGCAAGAAGTGAAACAAAGGCATTTCAAAATTATTTCATTTTTTGTAATGAAGAGCTCTCAAACAACTTCTCCGCTTTTGGAGCATGTGAATTCTTTTATTAAACGGTTCTAAATTTGGCGATTATCAACATTTTGGCGATTTTAAGATCGGTTTCTAGAAAATTTTTATTCCGAGATGTGGGAATTTTTTGATGATTTTTTAGAACATTCTAACATTGATAAATTTCATTAAAATAATGGTAATATATTGGAATTATATTTAAGAAATAACATTAAAATAAAGCATTTTTATTTTTCACTGTCATATTATAAAGTTCCATTTTGGCCACATATTATACAATTTTTTGAATCTGAAAAATAAGCAAGGAATAATGCTATAAAGCACAGTTTACAAAACAGTTTTTAGCAAAAGCAAAATAGCAATGTAATTAATTAAAAATGTCTTTTTAATTTTTTCACGGTAAGAATTTTTCCCATTTTTCAGAATGATTAGAATTTTCAGAATATGCATCAGTTTTCTCTATAAAATTAATTTCACACTTTTTTTTCCTCCAATTTTTTTCTAAAAACATTTATGGATTTTTACTGTTACAGAACTGGTAGGGGTAATTTTTCGTTAGGATTTTAGACATTGAAGCTTGGAAAGTTGAGAAAGATTTCAAGGTAAATTTATAGACCCACGATTCTAAAAGATTCTAGAAAAATGTGATAAAATGAAAAATGTCTCCATGGTAGTAAAATGCAGTTCCTTATATTTTGAAAAACATCTGGAAGAACAATGAAAACATAATAGTTGAATGTTTTACTTCTGATTCTAGAATCGCTTTCTTAACATTTTTATCTTCCCTTTATTTTCTCTAATTTTTACTAGATACAAACATGGAAAATATCAAAAGTACTTCTAAGATTATCATATGGACAAGCATTATAGAAAGGAATTTTTTTATTAATAAAGAAATTGAAAACTGACAATTCAAAAAATTCATCTAATATGTCTTAATGCATCATACACAGAGCTGGCGCTAGGCATTTTGCCACCTGATGCAGTCTCTGTGGATCCTTAATTCTGATGCCTGGTACCTTTCTAAATTCTGCTTTCAGTGCCTGCTCTAAATTCTAAAAGTTTTGCCATTTCTAGATTTTTTTGCTCAGTGTGTCTCTAAATTCTAAAACTTATGGCACACCAGCTTTGTGACCAGACCTTACCATATGTATTTCATATTTCTTCTGAATGTTCGTATTACTAAAGAAATAAAATTAGAAGCTTTTTCCATACATTCTAAATGCATTTAGTCTTTTAGAATAACAGAAGTCTTTAATTAAATTGCAAAAATTTAAAGTGAAAAGGAAACATGTTGAAAAAAGAACTAAATATGTAAAGAGAAAGAAAATTATTCTTCAAAGATATGTATAGTTATTATTATAATTAATGTAAAACAACTTATCACCGCTAATGCTTTAGTGGCTTAACCTTAAAGTATATTAACTGAGTTACAACCCCTGGAACTCTACACAAAGCTACGACACTAACAGCGTCAGACAGAGGTCAGCTAACTTTCAAAACTTGCTTAACTGTGCCTACATCAGGCCTTTCAGATTTGTTCTGATCAGCAGGTTTCTCTATAGGCAAGCAGGAGTGGTGACAACAGCCAGTCTTTTGTTATGAATCATGCTGATTATGATTTTAATGCTTATTTTAACCTATGCTGCTTGACATAAAATCTACTTGCTATTTACTAAACCTGTAGACTGAGCAGGTATGTCACATAATGAGACATTAAAAAAAAAAAAAAAAAAAAAAAAAAAAAAACTATTAATAAAACGTAACTAAAATGTCACATATCTTCTTTCAAATATGTCCAGTTATTATAAGTGTAAAATATTTAATGCTACTTGATAAATTTCATAAAATTAATTTTATTCTCAAACATATTAATAATTATGTTAATTAAGTTATGTTTAATAATAATGCATCCTACTCACGTTCAGGCATAGATATATTTTTAATTGAATTTACTCAATTCCCATTTGCTCATAGATTCTTAATTTTTTTCATTAATGGTCCTTAAAAGTCCTTAAAAGTACTTAATTTCCGTGTGCAGAAATGTGTACGAACCCTGTTCATAGCATTTGATTTTAACATTTTTGTCCTCCCATGCAATAATTATCACTTTGCATTAAATTCAGTGTACTGTAAACATTGTAAAATATGACTTCAAAATGAAAGCAGTTGCTGTGAGCAAATATTCGTAGAAGGAAAAGTTTTATGGAAAAGGGAAGAATGGGCTTATTGTTTTGAGTAGAACTAACTTCTTCATCATATTCATCAGCTAGTTTTATTTAGCTGAATCCCATTCAGTGTAATTTTCATTTGCTACATAATTTTTAAGGACATTCTGAAAGTTGAAAGAAGAGAATCTAGAGAGCTGAGATTAATGATTACAATTGAAATGCAGAAAAATTAAGTCCTTTTTTTATTCTTATTCTAAATTTAATTAAATTAGTACTGTGCTGAATCTTCTGTATATCGTTTTTAAATCAGACTCGCAGAATAGAATTTTTAATGTTAATATAAAGTATATAATTCAAGCAAATAGCAAAAGTATTGAGAGCTGCATGTTGCGTATGTGAAGAGGGTCCCCCCCCCCAAATTTCAGTTTTAAAAATCTAAGATATAAATACAAGAGAATTTTTGATTACAGGTCCTTTAAAGGTATAAGCAAGATTATTCATGCGTGAAATTGCAATGCTGTGCATTTTCTGGTATCAAACATATTTCAGCAGAGGTCTTCAAATATTTTGCAGAGAAAATCATCCTGTGGCCTCTTTAATACAAGTATTATTTGCTGTATGCAGCTTTAATATGTGGAGATGCAAAAAATCTAATTGTTTGAAGAAGTTATTAATCTGTGCTGAGATTCTGTCATGAAGTGTTGCATTGTACTCTAGAAATCTGGGTACTAAATTATGCAGGAATTTATTTTGCTTTTCATTTTTTATAACCTTAAGATTGCTAGATTTATGCAGATTAGTGGTGATAATGCTCAGAGGGTTAATAATGCAGGTATTATCCTGATATTCATTGACCATTAGTGAGGAAGAAGACAGTCTTCATTTCGCTCTTAATTCATATTATTAATTTCCTCTTATTTTTTTCTGATATTTAACTTTGCATTTATATTACATTTTTCTTTTTAAAGCCTACAAATAGTTTAACAAGGCAAAGCAGCTCAAATCAGTCATCATCTGAAGGTTTACCAACAGGATGGTCCATGCAAGTAGCACCCAATGGAAGAGTGTTTTACATTGATCATAACTCAAAAACTACAACTTGGGTAAGAGATTGTGCATGAGCTATTATGTTATATGCTTTTACTTTTTATTTTATTTAAAAGTTGCCTTTTCTCCAAATTGTGTTAATTAGTCTGTGAAGAACAAAAAATATAAGAAATTGATAAAAGTAACCAAAACACTCATGATCAAGTAAAATCAAAAGAGAAAAGAAAAACCACAAAGTAAAACATACAATTAGGCAAAGCAACAACTGTTTATTTTTTGCCAAACTCAAGCTTGTTGCTTTGCGTAATTGTATAACCAAATAAAATATTTTATGTAGAAGGGAAATAATAATTGCCTGTAATTTTATATGGGGTAAGTAAATGCATATTTGTATGGTATACATATAATTAAAACTTATATGTAGTTTTAATTACATTACTCTGACATTGAACTCTTAATATTTTTTTTTAATTGATAGGGCTCAAGGTTTCATAATATGTGTAATAAATAATTCAGAATAGACTGCAGTAGACTTTTTAACATGCTTTTATAAGTTTTCTGTGTGTGTCAGATTTAAATATTAATAATTGCTTATAAATGCATTCATGAATATAATTTTTAATTAATAAAAGAACTGGTCCCTATTATTTTCCCATTTTGCATTTTTAGTTCTTTTTTAAAAAAATAAAACAGTGAAATTCTTATTTATTATTTGGAAACTTTAACATAATCAAAGTATGTAGTGAATGTTAGGGTTTTAGTGTGTGAGAAAGCTAACATAGAAAAAAATGAAAGAAAGTCTACTCTGATCAATTTATGTTTAATATATAATCTAAGTAAAAAAGTGTATTCATATACAAATAAAAATTTGTTGCATTCTGAAAAATAAAAAACAGAAAATTTAAAAAATAATGCAAGAAAACAGAAAAGACATGACACTAAGTCATATAAAAACAGTTGGAAGTGAATTACCAAAAAACATGAAAAACTTGGGTACCTAACTGAAAATTGAGAGTAGCTGTGATTTACTATAATCGTCACACAGAATATTTTAAACATAAACAAAGCAATAATAATAATTTTTAATTTTAATTAGTTTTAACAAAAAATAATTTTTAACAAAAAATTGTAACTAACAAAAAAGGGGGGGGGATTTTTTTTTTTAAATTCAAAACTCTTAAAGCTTGTTTATGTATTGTGTTATTGTTATTTAAATATATAATTTAATGCTTTTAAAGTTAAATATTCATTTATTTAGAAATGTGTAAAAATAATTTCTTTTGAAAGTTATGACTAGATTGTGAAAAGTATGTAAAACATAAGGAAGAATGAATGTTTTTTCTTATTTTGATTTTAACTTTATGGAATGATCTAGAACAGGGGTCTCCAAACTTTTTAGCCCGCTGGCCACATAAGCTTTTTCATGAAGCTTTGTGCGCCAAGACCTAGTTAGTTCATCAAACCATGGCGATGTAATTATGGTGAATCATACACATGCTTTTAAACAAGGCAGCGAGATTTTTGCAGTTGGATCTACACCACTATGGTAACATAAAGATACTTGTTTGTTAGACTTTCTTGCTGTTTTACCTAATGTAAATTTCTTAAGACTGTTTAAAAATTTGCAAAAATATTTGTGTCTTAATATCAGAGATTTCCCTAAGTTGCAATGTAACTGCATTTACATTCCCATTGTAACAATTTATTAGTGCATTTTATTTTTGATCAGATGCAAACTTTTGTTCACAGGCATTTCCTATTTTGCATAAGTTTTGTGGGAGGGAAAAATCACCAAAATTAAAATAAACATACACCAAAATTAAAATAAACATACAACAAAAATTCAGATTTAAAAAAAAAAAATCATTACTTAAAATTTCTTCAAATGAGCCTGTTATGAAACCAGGTAACGATAACACATAAAACCTTTATTTTCATAAAACGTATGACAGCAATTTTTTTAATACAGTATTACGGTTTTTCACGAATTATAAATTTAGGAACAGTTGTGTAATGTTTACAATATGCTTTATAAAGAGCATTTATTTATAGATTAGTTGTTATATAAAAATAGTTAATTTGTAGGTTACCATGCTTATTTTAAATTTTATAAAATTATATAAAAAAAGTCTGTGGTGGACCGGATTGATAGTGCTTGCGGGCCGTAGTTTGACTAGTGGGAAACTCCTGATTTAGAACTTCAGAATTGTTTAATAGGCTTTAAAAGCTTTCTCTGGTTTCTTCGAAAATGCTTTTTGTTGTTAGTTAAATTAAATAGCAATATTTTTTATATAGGTTAAATAATGGAAACAATGGAAAATATGTATTTAGTTTTTAGTTCAGATTCTGTTAATAAAAAATTATATTTATTTCTGACATGAAATGATTATTTATTTTATGAGCTCGTTCATTCTGCATTGCTTTTTTTTAATGAAATTAATTTTTTAAAAAGTTAAAACATAAAAATTTCTCTCTGTAATATGTCCAAATTCTAATTATAAAATATAATTAAAATTCCTTTTGGTCTAAAATTATTTATGGCTTTTCATTTGCAGTCGTACCTCAGTATACATCTGTTTGGATTTGAAAATTTTTGTTTAGTATTTAATATTTGTTTTAAATACAACTCCATGAGTCACAACACTCATTTACTTCTTTTAAGACAATGCTACAATTTTCATGAGTGTCAGGATGCCTCTTGTTCTATTTAGTAAATAAACCATACTATAACTCCAAGTTTCAACTAATTTTCTTTTTGTGGGGTGGGGGGGGCAGATTTTTCTAAATTCATTAACAGTGAGTTTTAGGAAAGTTAATAGAAACTGTCAAGCAACAAAGAAAATTCTTAAGATCACCACAGGGATGAAAAATGAGATTGTGTAAAAATATGAAGATAGCATAAGTATACGAGAAGCTGGACCCCGCACCGTACCCTTATGTAAGTAGCCAATTAAATTAGAGTTCTCGGTGACATCAGATTATGGGCGTGGTCTTTTGTTACTCGACGCGATGGTCCTTTCGCGGTTCTTTGCTTTCGCCATTTTAACTAGTGACCTTTCTCTAGTTGTGTCGTCGAGTAGCGATTGAGTACGGCATGTCTTCGGAAGAGCATGTGCTTTGTATGTACTGCGAAAAGAGTTTGAAAAATAGGGTACAACTTAGAAAACATTTACGCAACGTGCACAAACTTCGAAGTGAGCTGAATCACATTAAATGCGGAGAAGAAGGTTGTTTGGAAAGTTTCTCTACATTAATGAATTATAGAGAGCATTTAGAGAAGCTGCATAAATATGAAAATATAAGTAAAAGTTTAGATCTCTCATTCCCATCAAGACAAGGTTTGTTAATCCGCACCGTACATATATTTGAATACGCAGTGGAAGTAGTATTTTATTTTTTTATCTTATTTTTAAGGAAAATAAAATTATTGAAAAAAGGTTACATTTTCTCCTTTGCCGTGTTTGATTACAAAAAAAAAAAAAAAAAAAAAAGCATGTAATAGGTGCTGCACAATGAATCATTGCTGAATTTTTCCGCATCATAACGATGTTATAAATTTATAAGGCTTTCTCTTCATCTGTTATCTATAATACCAAAAGACAACATTCCACATGTACATTACAAAGTTTTTAAAACACTAACATAACAGTTTTTATGCTGCTTGAAAATAATTTATGGTATAAATTCATCACTGAATACATTTTAATATGACTGTATAGTTTTCAGTTTCATTGTCTTAGTTTTTAAAAACTGAGTACCTCTCTGTTATCAGGAGCAGATTCAGAAATGTATGTGTGTGTATAGACACATATAATGCATGAATACATGCATTTCTGAATCCAATTCAAATAACCGAAGAGTACAAAAAATTGATACCAATAGATAAATTTTCTTACTGGGTATGATGCAGGGGTTATGAAGGAGATTTAATTGTATTCTTTATTTTTTTTTATCCTTTCATTCACCAAAATGTACATACCATTTCACATTGCTTCACAATTTTCTTATCCCATATATTTTGCTTTCTTTTCAGATTATTTACTTAATGTGAATACCTGAAACTGATCATACGTAGATTTTTATTATTTGCATTCAATTTTTTTTTCAGTACATTTACCTTTCAGTCTACATAACATGTTTTATAGATTTTAAAGAATCAAACTGGATAGATATGTTCTCAAAACATTTATTGAAAATCGAAAAAAAAAAATTAACCTTTTTATGATACGTGATTTTCTCTCTTATTATCACAAATGTGAAGTTAGTGGACTAAAGAACGTACTGTCTAACAAACATTTTCCACTTCATATTTGTAATTAAATACAAACAAAAAGAGAGAAGTTTTAAGTAATCTTTAGTATATTTCCAAAATAATCTTTAATGGAAGAAAAGTGAATGCTTTTCTTTCAACACATTCTTGTTTCCTTGTTAATATAGTGAACCCACAAAGAACATGATTTTGCATGTATGTGTATCCATTTAATTTGTCCACTGCGAGAATTCCAATTATACACAGTATGTTGTGGAGTATTGGCAATATTGTGATAGCTTTTTTTAATGGCTAGTTTGAAAATTCATTTATTAAAAAAGTTAGATATTACAAAGAGCAGCAAAATCTGAACTGTAATGTTCTGCTCTCCACCGAATTCAACTCCCTTAATCGAACCAATGGATCAAAAAATCAAAAACATTTGCAAATAAAGCACTAGACAAAAGAAAGCACACTAATGGCATTTTTGAAAGTAATTGAACTTAAGATACAATATAGAAATGATTAAAGTCATATAGCAGTAAGTGAATTCATCAACAGTTAATGTATTCTGGTATCTCCTCTGACCAGTCAACAATTTTAAAGGATTTCCATCAAGTGAAAATGAAGCCTAGGAAATCATACAAATTGCAAAAGCAATAGGCAGCAAAGGATTTTCATGTACAGAAGAAGGAAAAATAGAAGAATTAGTCAAAAATTATGATTCTGAAATAACAAATTAAGAACTGAATGATCTTATAACAGCAGCTGAACTGTGAAAGCAGCAATAGAGAGGAAAATGAAGTGCCTTTAATGTACAATAAG